TCTTGCGCACGGGCGGGGCCGAGTCCCGGCTGGCCGACCTCGAGCGCTTGGAGCTCACCGACTCGGGGCCCTTCTTCACCTTCAGCACTTTCATGAGGGGTGAGAGGAGCTTCTTGGAGCGACCCCACCCCCAACTCACCGCCCCCGCCACCACCACCCCCGCCACTGCTGGGAGGCACCGGCTCCACCAACTCTTTGCCCTTTTTCTTCTTCTTCCTCCCTTTGACTTTAGGGGTGGGCGAGGAGGACGAGGACATTTTCTCTGTAAACAAAAACAAAAAACAACAAAAATGTTCAGATTTCTTTTTTGTTCTAGTAAGAGTTTTACGCACGGCACTTGCAACACAATAAGGTCATATAGGTGCCGAAGATTAGAGGTGATACAAGAGAGTAACACAAGCACAAAAAAGAAGGGAGGGGAGATAACGACGATAGACGTTTTTAGTTTAGTTTTTTAGTAAAGAGTTTTACGGCACTTGCAAAGCAATAAGGTCATATAAGTGCTGAAGATTACAGGTGATACAAGAGAGTAACACAAGCACAAAAAAGGAGGGGAGATAAAGACGATAGCTGTTTGATAGGACAGAATAAGCAAACCACACCAGAGCACCCGCCAACCACCCACTCAGATTTCTGTTTTAGTAGTTGTGGTGGCATTGAGGACTGTCTAAGTAAAAAAGTAAGTTTCAAGTCAAAAGAAGCACATCGACACAATAACTGTCACAAAGCGCAGGGAAGAAGCAAGAAATTTTTTTGTTTTAGTCAAGAGTTTTACAGCACTTGCGACATAATAGGTCACATAAGAGCCGAAGACATAATGTGTTACAAGAGTAACAAATATAACAAAAAAGGAGAAGAGAAAAGGACGACAGAAGTTGATAGGAGAGAATGAATAGACCACACCTGAGCACCCGCCAACCATCTACAGTAAAAAAAAAAGTATGGTGCAAGGAAGAAGCAAGAAAAGATAGACAGAAACAACAGAGGAAAAGAAAAGAAGCAGGGCCTACCAGTGGCACCCCTCTACTAATTTCAGTTAACAGGTTTTACAGTACTTGCAACACCAATAGGCCATATAATCACTGCAGATTAGAGGTGTTACTACTAGAGAGTAACATATGTAGAAAAGAAGGAAGAGAGATAAGAACAATAGAAGTTTGACTAGAAAGGAACAGAACATATACAGCTCAACTTTCACTTGAACAGAATAAAACCAGAACTTCCCCCAATGTGTCCTTTGTGTGACTATGCACATGAGACAGTGGAACATCACCTGTTCCACTGTACAGCCCTAAATGACATCAGAGCTACCCTTCTCCCTCTGAGACCTAACTTCGACAACACACTCTACGGAACATTACAGCAACTGCAGCAAACCTGCACTTATCACAACATGGCATTGGACAGAAGTGCGAGAGCCCAGATGTTGCTGGATCGATAACAACAACAACAACAACAACAACGACAATAACAACAACAACAACAACAACAACAAGACTGAAGACCCACAACACCCCCCCCCCCCCAGCCAGGCCATCCAGCCTGCCAGAGACAGAAGCTCTTTCTCTCCTCGACGCCCTAGATGGTACACGAGGAAGGATTAGACAAAGTAAAGTAAGTACCTTTGTCTCCGGGTTAAAGTCCTGCACAAAGTCTTTGACTCTAGCCCCTCCCACTGTCACAAGGGCGGGCCCCGGAGTGAAGGCCACGCCCACAATGTCAATGGAGTTGTAGTAGAGGTTGAAGCTCTCCTTGTCCCCGACACGCCCCGGCCTCATGGTCAACGCCTCCTGCAAACAACAACAATAACAACAACAACATCAACCAAAATATTAGTAATAAAATAACAGTTCGATTCTTGGCCTTTTGGTTAAGATAATAATAGTAGTAGTAGTGATAATAATAATAATGATGATAATTATAATAATAATAATAATAATAATAATAATAATAATAATAATAATAATAATAATAATAATAAATGACATTTATATAGCGCTCAACCCCGATTAAAGTATACAGGCTATGAGCGCTTTGCTATACAATACAACGTACCGCAGTAACATCAAACGTTTCTCCTATTTCCCTGCTCCACCTTCTCCTTCTTTTCTTCCTCCTCCACCTCCTTCTCATCTTTCTCCTCTTCACCATTATCACCACTTAATAGTGACAGAAACTGCGACAAGGAAAAGGTGTTTTTGGGAGTGAGGAGGGAAGGGGAGGGGGAAAAGGGAAGGAAAGAGCGGGAGGGGACGGGGAGGGGATGGGGAGGGGAGGGGGAGGGTACTTACATTTCGCACTGAGTAGGTAGCCTCGTAATACTCTCGCTTCTGGTATGTATCTGGAAAGATCAAAGACAAATATATTTGACTTTATGTCCTGAAGTGATGGGTTCGATGATCATGTTTCATGATCACGTGGTCAGAAGACTATTTTGGCGTTTAAAAAAGCTGTCACCATCATCATCACCATCTACATCGTCATCATCATCATCGTCATCATCATCATCGATAAAACCAAGCAAATTGTGTTGAGAGCCTTTAAAACGCCAAAAAACCCACCCCAAAATAACCCCAACCTGTCCAGAGTTTGAAAACCCCTAGTTGGGGATTCGAACAAGGGATGTCTGCTCCATTCCCGGTCTAATTGACACCAACTAAGCAAAAGTGATGTCTTTCTCGTACATTTGGGATACAAGGAAACAGATATATGTGTCAAGACGTGCTGGAATCAGCTGCTCGTCAATTTTTGGACATGTTGGGTTATTAGTATTATCTTAAAGCCTGTACATTTGCCTTCCTTTAGGTGAAAAAGAAATGCCCATCTATCTTGAATAGAAGTAGAGATATTTACGGTTGAAGGAGGTCAGAGTCGCCTGCTTTCAAAGGTAAAATTAGTGAGAAAATGACTGCCAGAGTTTGGTAACTTCCATAGCCTGAGAGTCCTTGGAAACTGAACATTTGCATTTTTTGTTCCTTTAATCAATGTTTTTCAAAATCCACACAAAAATGTGTTTTTGAATTGATATAAAAGGTGTTGAGCCAAAAAAAAAAAGAAAATGAGAAAAACATTGCCCACTGCCCCCCCCCCCCCCCCCCCCCTCTGTTGTCCTCTTATTAGATTATTTTGACAGTGCCTCTCACCATTAATCTGGGATCCCCCAAGAGGCCCCCAAAGAATGAATACCTTATGCTCTCCTTTCCCTCCCCCCTTGGGACTAACCGGCCAACCCCGCGGGCCCCGAAAAAAAGGCGCGTAATTCTCACCCCCAACCGAGATAAGATGAGTCGAATGAGAGGGGAGGGAAGAGGAGAGGGGAGGTGGAGGGTATGTAGAGAATTTTTTTTCTTTTTTCACTGGCAGAGTTGAAGGGTGTAGCAAAAGGGGAAAACAGCCAAGAGCAAACAGAAAACCAGCTAATGGATTCACAATAAGGCAGGAGAAAAAGTCCCAGTATGGGGAGAACAGGTCACTTCAATGATCTTAATGACTTATTTCAAGACAATTTAAGATTGATTGCATTTACGTAGATTTATGTAGACAATAAAAGATTGCATTTCCATTGATTTATATTGGCAATAAAGGACTGCATTTACATATATTTAAAGAGAGAATAAAAGATTGCATTTACATAGATTTATATAAGCAATCTTTTTCTTTTAGTAGAGGTTTTACGGTGCTCGCAACTGCATATGGTCATATGAGCGCCAGAAGATTAGAGGTGTTACAAGAGAGTAACAAACATAAAAAACAAGGAGGGGAGATAACGACGAT